ATATATATATAGATTAAAAGGCAAAATACTGAAAAACAACAATGCTGTGGGAAACAATGGCTGGATCTCAGTAGAGATACAAAAATGATAAGCAACAGCTAAAAAGTAGACGTAAGTAAACAGCCAGAAATAGAACCATGAGCTTTCGGACAACACTAGTCCTTCCTCAGTGGCGAGTGAGTGAGGGTAGAAAAAGCTAGATGGTATAAAGTGAGAATTTCATGCAAGCATGATTGGATCACAATAGACTGGGTGAGATTAGAATAAACAGCCTAAACAAGTAAACAGGAAGGCCAAAACGTCATCTCAAAAGCGGGGGCGCGCGTATGCCATTTTCGTGACTTCTGAAGAGGAAATGGAGGAAAAAAGAATGAAAAAGGAAAGGAAAAAAAAGTGGAATTGGGGAGGAAAAGGGTTACGAAATGATGATTATGATTATTAATGCCTGACTCTGGGTGTGTTCTTTTGTGTTTTGTTTAACATTATTATTTTTTTGTTGTTGTTTATTATTATTGTTATTATGACTGTTATTATCATTATTAATAATATTATTATTATTATTTTTTTTCTTTTTTCCAGGACCACAATGAAAAACATTTCTTTAAAATGATTGTGTCATCCTGGCTAAAGATATTAGTAAATAAATTAAAAAAACTAAACTTTAGAGGCAAGCCTCAATAAATAAGCCAAATGATTTATAAGGAATAAATTGAAATGCCATTGGTTTAATTTAGTGTACTGGGAGAACGTCCTAGTATTGAGTGTGGTTGTTTTAAGTATAAATTCCCAGTGATTCTCTTTATCTTTGCGATTTTTGTCGCTCCAATTGGCATTATGGTCAATTGTATATATATGTATATATATATATATATATATACATATATATATACAGATATACATATAAATATATATACATATATACTGTACATACACACATATACATATATATATACATATGTATATACATATATATATACATACATATACATATATGTATATGTATACATACATATACACATATAATATATGTATATACACATAATATATATATATACATATAATAATAATAATAATAATAATAATAATAATAATAATAATAATAATACTAAAAACAAGTGGTATTTAATCTCATGAATAATCCAAATATTTCCAAATGATACTTTAATTATGGATAGCTCTTCTCGTCGTCGTCGTCGTCGTCATCGTCATCATCATCATCATTGTTATTATTATCATATAATATATATACACACATAATATAATACATATACACACATATTATATATATACATATACATATATCAAAATACAATAAAATACATATCAAAATGTTCTCCACCAACCATGACTCTCACGCACCCTATCCCCAAATCCAGCATCCACCCCAGAAAAGACAATCAATTACACTGTAGAACATAATCCTTAAAGCCTATAATATTCATATAGATCGATAACTTTTAATTGCTTCTTTCAAAATATACATGTTGGGTGTCTCCAAGGCGGAAACAACTCGTACCGTTAACTTAAAGCACCGTAAAACGGAAGCTTACTGTGACTTTCCGAGTTTCCAAGATAATTATCTTGGAAACATGGAAGAATCATTATTCTACCTTTCTGAGACAACCTATATCGGAAAGATGGAATTCCAATATAATTTACCTTGAAAATTCGTTCGCTCGTTCGTTCGTTCATTTATTTATTTCCAAGCAAACAGCAAATTAATCGGCACTTACAGGATGGACATAAAATATATAGTATAAACTCTAAAGATATAAGAAAGACAATCAGAAAGTATATTCCTAACTCCTACCACCACAAAACGCAGAATCCTGAATACTTTTAAATTTTAAAATGAGTGATGGGATCGGAAACTATTAAAAAAGATGTCAATGTTACTATTTAAGAAACAATGCGGTAGTAACGCCCTTTTTGGGGATATTGGACCCCTCGCTGGGGAATTACTGGCGACGCCTCTGATCTACACAAAAATAACATATCATTTAAGAACACTTAAACCTACTTACAATTCTAAAGCAAATACAGACTTCAAGTTATGGAACGAAAAAAAACAATATTTTCTCTTTGAAAAACAAAATTTTTCTAGCCATTTACGCGCTAAGTAGATATATAAAGGATGAAGTGCACTTGCACAATTATGCAAATTACGAACGTTAATCCGTAAACAATCAAACGCGAATACGTCACGATACCGCGCAATCACGCCAACAATGTATTCAAGAAACAATCGAATAATTAAAAGGATAGAATATCCGATCCACGACAGTATTATTTACATATATACAACTACATAGGCCCCTATAATCATACCTAATTAAACATAATAATTGGTAACTATATATTACATACTGTAATATAACAAAAGTATCAGTGGATGTACCTTAATTAATTACTATTAATTTTGTCCAACGAAGATATATTTCCAATTAATCAGATATTTATTATCTCTCTATTTTATGTAGCATGCTTCTTTTGCTTTCTTTAATAAAGAAAAATCTTAAAACGTATTTATTACAGGATTGTTAACTTGCCTGAATTCCTCATCACTTAGCGCCTTTAATAATCATCATTATCATCATCATCATCATTAATAATAATAATAATAATAATAATACTAAAAACAAGTGGTATTTAATCTCATGAATAATCCAAATATTTCCAAATGATACTTTAATTATGGATAGCTCTTCTCGTCGTCGTCATCGTCATCATCATCATCATTGTTATTATTATTATTATTATTATTATTATTATTATTATTATTATTATTATTATTATTATTATTATTATTAATAATAATACTT